AAGGAAACCGTTGTGGATGAAGCTGTCTCAGGACCCACAATGTTTTGTAGATGAGCTTTATTTATGTGAATGATGATAGATTGGGAATTTATTACATGCTTTCGATCAACAGTGCTATGTACTGTGGTAGTTTGTTTTTCTTTCTTGTAGATTTGCCCTTCTACTTCCAGGCAAGACCAAATTCTTTTGCTTTTTCCAAGTGCATGAAATAAAGAGTCTAGTGAGGTCATTCGAGGCTTATATCTTAGACTGTTTTCCAACAGCAGCAACTTTGTTTAAAGGGAAAAGTAGAACTTTATCATTTAAGACAGTCACACGGTCTGCTGCTTTATATTTTACCTGCTTGTTCTAGAAATGCTTTGTTTCTGTTGTGTTGCTTTAGAGTCTCTTGGAGTTTAAGCATAGTTTCATGAACTATTCCCCATTGCTTGCATCTGTCCTGCTCTTTCAGGAACTGAGGGGTGTTTAAAGCTGAAAAATATATGACGTTGTATAAGCAGTGCATAGCTTTCTTTAAAGGTGATCCTTCTTTTAAATTCAGTTTTAGTTGCATGGTATGCAAGAACTCAAGTCATCAGGATTTATGTTGTAAAGCTTCAGGAACCTTCCTGATATAGAACCTGTGTCATCAAAATCTGAGCTCTTTTGAGGTAAACCAGTCAGTGACCATCCTCACAACTTGTTTTTGTCCTTTAACTGTAGAGCTGTATCAAACTGAGCTGTTTTGTCCCATCTAGAACTTAATTACTGAATTACTGCTGCTAAATCTCACAAATCTCCTGAAAAAAATATGTAAGACAAACACTGAAAGTGACAAAAAGGAACCTGCAGGCAGTGAAGCAGCAATGGGCACTATTATTGCTCACATCATTTAATTTCAGACTTCTTCTAAACTTCTTTGAAACCTGAAGAACAACTATAGTATTTACTTCATTTTAGCGTCAGAAAACAAAGAAATATGCTCATATACTTTTGAGTTCTTACTCACAAATTATCTAAGCTATAGACTTTTCTGATATGCTTCAGTAAAAGGAGAGAATCGGATCTAGTTACCTGATTTTTAGCTATTCTTGATGCTTTTTTGTATGTGCAAAGCAGAAAAAGAGAGACTCATGTTAGATATGCATGACTGTTAACATTTAGGAGTCCCCAAATATTTGTGTTTAGAAACTTACTTTGTGAAATAATGTCTGTATGCTATTCAGTGCTCAAAAGGATTAAATTCAGTACTTAGGCATGTCATTAAAAGACAAACTGTAATCTCTGGTGATTACTCGTGTATTGGAAATTGCAAATAGTTTAGACATCAGTTTGACTGATCTCTTAAGAAGCGTAGACTGAAGATTAGGTAGATTTCTGTGGCATAGTCAGTGATTGTCTGAGCTTCTGTGAGCCATCTGAAAAATGCTTCACAATATATCTTACAGATGTTCACATTGTATCCGTAACTATTTTTGTGTTTGGCTGGACTCTTTGAGCTTGATCATCTTGCTAGAAAGTTAGTGTCTGTGAAATTAAGAAGATAAAATGAGGGAAGTCAGGAATGATGTAAAGGTATGCAATAGTTTCCATATGAGGAACATCTAAATAAGCTAGGACTGCTTCATCTTTTCTTTTTAGTTGAGAGAAGTGAGGGATAGGTGTAACAGTGATGTCCAAAGTGAATGTAAGAGAGGGGGAAGAAGAGGAAATGACTGTTCATTTTTCTAGTACAACAATTAAGGGACACCAGATGAGTGTTCCTAGCAAGTAAGGGTTTCAAAACCACACAAAAGTAATTACTTATTTAGATACTGAATAAAAAGCTGTGGATGTAGAGGATGCTATGGTTTTACATCAGGTTTTGAAGGGATTTGGAGAAATGACTGGTAGAAAGATCACATTGACATCTACACAGATACTGTGATGGACTCTGGAAATTTCTGAAACTGATTACT